CTGCATTGTAGTACAATTCAGGAAACGGTCTGACCGTTGTGGTTTCGTTTGGCATTTCTTTCTTCCGACGCTGACTAAACAAAACGGAACAAAATGACAATTCAAACGGAATGTTGTTAATCTAGGATCACTTGATAAGCAGATAAGTTCCTTCATTCATAAGGGGCCAGTCGGACATGCAGATAATGAACCATTTTTGTCTTTATGATTAACAAACGATAGCTTATGTGGCCAACCATTAGTTAGATACTACGGGTGTGACGTTTTTCTCTTTTCTCCATCTAACTATTCCGAATTTAAAAACAACTGTCTCAGAAGTAGAATACATACGAACGACTAACTGCTCGAATTCTTCTGAGAAAAAAAAAGATGTCGCATTTTAGAAATTATAAGTAATAGATTTATTCGTTTCTCTACGTTTAATAGAATGAATAAATCATTACACTTCTGCTTTCTAGCCAAAAATATCCGGTACGATTGTTAACGGAACCAAACTGGCCAAAACGTATGTAGGCCAGTTTCACGTACGATTTAGGTTATATTTCTCAATGTGTAAAGTATTCTTTTTCGGGCAAATTCTTACGTGACAACTAAGAGAAATCTCGAACATTAAATAGGAAGCTTTTAGAATGAATACTTTTAACAGGAAATATTGTATGTCTGAAAAAATAGAAGTTTCTCATTGTGTTTTGTGTCTTCATTAGACACAATTCAATGCCAGCACACGAAACGTTTGAGAGATTCTGGTGATTTATGTATCGTTCTTAGTTTCTGTGAACATTCCGATGGAATTTATGGTCTCCCAAAAGTGAAAAACGCTGTGCAAGCCCGCTTTGAATCTGCAGCTCAGTTAGTCACTACAGTCAATCACTTAGGTTTTTACATGATTATTTAGCTGAGAAACAGAGAAAATCGCATGCTCGATTCTGACTCAAAAAGTCAACAACCAGGATTTGGACAGACAACAGCTTGGTAGTTTGGAGATAGGGTCTTTTATAGACTTCCCAGAATTCTCTATAAACCTATACTGTTAAAACATTTTTCAGGTCACTTTCATTTTGGGTCATGTTTCTTTAACAACCGTACAAGCATCTCGAGAATCACTCATTTGCGTATAACACACAAAACGAATTTCATTTTCGACGTGTAGATAGCTGTGCGTAGAAGAATAACACTGAGTTCGATGATGTCGTCGGCAAACAGCCAATGAACAGATTTCAATTTCAGCAAGCTTCGGACTCAAATCATTATAGAATCAAGTTGTTCTACTTTTCCTTAAATTCGTTACACTTGTGCTACAGTGATCTCAGTTGTAGATCGAGCACAACAGGCACTTCAGCTTCAAGAGCATGCTAGCTATTGAATCCGACTGTTATAGCGCACTCTAAAATGGAGGAGCCCAGTTGAAGCAAAACGTTTAATAAAAACTCTGTCTACCTGAAACCGATTGGACAAAGACAAAACCATTCGTCATATAAACTAGATCCACTGTTTGTTTTAAAAATTACAGTTTAGCGGCGTACAACGTAACAAAATCATTGATGTCTTATCTGTGATTTTGTCTGTTTGTGAAGTCGAATTCTTGTGTAACATGAAATATGAAATATTTTATTTGCAGTGCAGTAAAATGTTTTTATTATTGTACAAAAGCGGATGGTGATGAAAAAGCGTTGAAGATAGATGAGATACCGGAAACAGAAGATAAAGGCGCGTTTTCAAAGCAATAGGCGTCACTGATTTTCCACAAATAAAAACAGAATAATTGACATACAAGGTTTTCAAAAGATTCTTAATCGCAATTCATGTGTTAAAAGATAAAACCGTTCAGTCAAAGAAGAACATTTTTAACTGAATGAATGTTTCTCACTTTTTTGAAGCATAAAACATCGTCTGTTTCGCTGGACGTTTTTGTTCTTTCTAATGTTTCTTCACTGATTTTTAATTAACTCAATCTGCTAATTGAAATTAATTTGAAATCATTCTCTCCAAAGACGAAATTAATTTAGGTCTATTGAAAAAGTGATTCTTTCATATATTATTTCAGTAAGCTTCTACCAGAAACTCCAACGTTAACGTATTTATATACAAAATTACTTAATTATGGTTCCGGAAAAATGATATTAATTAACTTATTACTGATGTCGGTGAATCATACCTATTTGAAGATCGATATCGGTCTTACACCACTTGGTGATTGAAATCATCATATACTTAAATCTATATGAAATTTAGACTCGGTTACGAAAAAAACTCATAAAAAAATAGCATAAGCAGGCACACATACAGCTCTTTCAAATCTGGAAAAAGGGGTAGATTTCGCCAAAATCGAACAGAGATGTGCTCTGAAATCGAATATCCAAAACCTTGCTTTCTTCTATATTATTGTCAGTATTTATAAAGTTAAATTATTAAGGGAAACTACAAGAATTCTTTTCGTTTTTCATTTTGAGTGGTAAATCAAGTGCTTTGACAAAGCGACATAGTTATATATGATCAGTAAAATACACTCTACTTTAGTTAATGACATCCGTATGCATGAGATAACCTACACAACAAACTACAAATTAAAGCTTGGTATTTGTCAGTTAAGTGGGAAAATAAGATTTTCGTTTAATAATACTTTGAAAGCGAATGTTTTCGTGTTTTCGACATGTAATATATTCATATTCACAGCTGCTCTACCGTCGAAAAACGAAGTTTCCCAACACAAGCTTTTCCAATCGCAGGGTCGTACCCGAGGGCTGTCAGAATATCCATGTAAGGTGTGACAAAGTTTCTCCTTAGCATAGACCAAGAACATCATACATTTCATATCTACATACATTTCATCTTTTTCTACATATCAACATTTCGTACATTCCATCATTTCATACCTTTCATCCTTTCATCCTTTCATCTTTTCATACATTGTAAGGCGCCGGTAATTCAAAATTTCAGCACTTTTTATTTTTCGTTTAAACACACATATTCGGCCAATGAGAAAAATAAAATTTAGGCAAAAAACACGTTGATTATGTCGACGCCAAAAAAGAAGTGAAGATGTAATTATAAGGAACCCGCTGTCGGATTCACGAACAAATTTTGCATTTGGCGCCCAATTTTTATCCAATTTGCTTCGGCGCGTAGCAAGCACCAAATGTTCTAATGAATTGGAAAAGCAATACAATCCTATTGAGAAATTTTTACGAACGACTAGTTTTCCAAAGATCTCCTAGAAAGTCTGTTTCATTGTAAATACGACAATGCGAAGAAACTCATATCCATTTTTGACAATTGTCGAAATTGCTGGCGACTTTGCTCTGTATATTTGACAATACTGCCAAATCCTTCGAAATTTGGACAGTCGAAATTCCGATGGCGAAATTCCAGGTGGCGATATCCTAGGATATCGACAGATTCATGTATTGATAATCAGTGTCTATTGCCATTAGGCATGATCATACACAACATCGGTAACTACTTACATCTTAACCATTCGGAATTAATTAATAAACACATCTCGATGATAGATGGGTTTTATTAGTCTCCTAATGATCATGATATTTCGTCTCAGATGAAATCATCACAGAAGAAACACAAATAGTCTTATCATGACCCACAGTAGACATTTTTCGATGGAGCAGGCAGACATCTCGTTTTCTTCGGTTAGAAAATGACTATTTTCGCATAATATGGTCTTATTATGTGTCAGATATGAATAAAAGTAAAAAAAACTCGAATTCAGAAAAAACTTTTTTTTCGATACAAAATTCCTTAGGAGGACCCTTGCCCCGAAGTTTTGTCAAAAAATATTTTATTTGTAAAATTGACAAATTATACACTATTCGATGCAATTTTTCATGCTTATTCCGAATATTACATTAATTTTCAATAGAAGTGTTTATTGGCTGAGAAAAATGGAAAATACCTCAAAATCTAGGGTTTTTTGGAAAACCTATAACTCGACTTTGATAAATATGTGCCTTTTTGTGCATTGACAATTGATAGAAGAAATAACACCGAGCATTTTCGTATTATTTTGAGTCAGATTGGACCGGGGCAAATTCATTACGAGGTGAGAACCTCTTTCGAAACAGACTTAGCCTGGAAGTCGAATTTTTTTCTCCGATTTGACAGGCCTAGAAATGATAAATTTTTTTTCAGGTTTGTGGAGGAGGATGTGTAGATTCAGAATATGTAAAGTTTTTAAACCTTAGACCACTGAGTCTACTAAAAGGCCTATTTTTCTCCGGGATCACTACTTTTCAGGCATTTTTAGGAGGATACAGTTTTCTGAAAACGAGTGCACTTGAAGTAAAACATTTACACCATTCGATAGCCCTTTTTTGGCTAAATGTCCCCCGGGATGCCTACTGTGCGACTGTAATTGTGGTAGCTACGGCGGTCGGGTCCAGCTTATGGTCGTTTATCAATTCAATGAAACAGTATAGTTTACAGAATCAAGTAACTACTTTGAACGTTCGTTTGACAATGTTTGATGACAAATTAAATAAGATGACTATTTGTGTTACTAATAGTTTTACTAATGATATTCAGACGTTGGGAGCACTACTAAATCAGAATCATGCACAGTCCACTCCAACTGAAATATCGCAGACCCTAATTCATTCGCGACAACGCGATCATTTGATTTTGGAATTGAATTCTAGGATAATGAGTAATTTTCTCGAAAACTCTATTTTTCAGCTAATGAAATCAATGATGAAAGAGTATTATTGACATATCTGAATCCGATGCGAATAGATGATTCTTTCAGTGATTTTAGTAATACCACCACTTGTCGCTTAACACCTTCTATTTACCTATATATTTTTAACAGCAAGTTCAATATGTTATAAAATTTTAATGAAATTATAAAAGGAAAAAAATTGCAAAAGTAAATATGAAGAAAAACAACTATTAATACATTTCATTATAAAAAACATTAGAGGAATCTGAACTACTAAAATACCGAATAAGTTAGATGAATCTTTCTTTCTCGCTCTTTCAAATATCTCATCTCACCACGACAAATCCTTATTAACTTGAGATACTTTTTCGTGCATCTCGTTAAAAACACTATTCGATATTTCATTATCACTAATCCAAAACATTGACAATGTTTTATTTTCACATAAACCTTTTTCAATATGCTTTGCACTAGCATTCGTTATTTTATTATTTTCAAGATGGAAAAATTTTAACATCGTATTTTGAGAAAGCATTTCAACTATAGCCTTTGCACCTCGATCGCCTATCTGATTACCTTTCAAACTAAGATATTCTACTGATTTATTTATTTTTAATGCTTCAGCAATGGCTATGGCTCCATCATCCGATATTTTATTGTGAGACAGATCAAGTGAAGTTAAACCTTCATGCAAAGTTAATGCTTGTGCAATATATTTTATTCCGTCAGACGTTATTTCATTCAATGCAAGACTGAGTTGTGAGAGTTTTTCATTTGCCTGAAGGACACCTGCAAGAGCTTTTGCACCTCTATCAGATATTTTGTTTTGAATTAAGCCGAGCTTATATTTTTGTGTATCTTCATCATCATTATACGATACTTTTCCTGCATCCAACAGGAGTCCAACAATTTTTTTATTTATTAATGCATTAGCCATAAGCTCCGCTGTTCTATCTGAAATACCTCCGTACATAAACACACCTTCTAGTTTCTCATTTTCTCTCAATATATCAACCACTGATTCAATTTCATCGTCTCTCAATTGAGCATCAAATGTTACAGTGAATATTACGGTGCTCCCTTTTAAATTTTCTGAAAATATTTTTATTGTTTCTGTATCTTCTCCAATAGAATTTTGAAACGTTAAATGTTTAACATCTCCATATCCTTTCTCAAGAACATTACAAAATAATTTCATTTCTGTTGCGCTCAACGATTGTTGAACACATAAGCATTTCTCTACGTCACGAAATTCTACATTCATTTTTTTCAATTCTTCAATATCATTATCCGTGATGTTATGTTCTTTTTCAACAACGTCTGACGATATTTCAAACGCATCAAGCAGGCCCGATGCTTCTTCCCCAGCTGGTGAAGCCGCTGCTGTTGAAGAAAAAAACTTACTTTTCAACTGAAATCCACTAATTATAAGAAAAAATAACAATTTTTTCAATAAAGAAAGCAAAGTTTCCTTCGTTTTTGTTACCATTTCCATTGATAACGTGGGTGTTGTTGTTCCTTGGTCATTAGCACTTGTATCACTGTCATCTGGTGAATAGCCAGTGAGTATATCGTATAAATAAGCTTTTATTCTTAATGGTAATATTCGATTGCCTTTGTCGTCCATTTCATATTTAACTGGATTATCATCATTCAATAACACAGTTATTTTTGGAAATATATCGTGTACATCTTGTAAAAAAACAAATTCTTGATTATCAATCACGGTAATCGAAATATTTTTTGTTCGACCTTTATATTGAACTTGTTGATGCATCATGATCTAACAAGGAAAGAGAGGTTATATGAACACATTCATTTATTTTCAATAGTTAACTTGTTTTACAGACAATGACCCTCAATAAATCTCAAGGAAAATAACACATGCTATTCAAATCGAACTGATTTCACCTGTGAATAATAAAAACGTGTATTCCTATAAACATTATATATTGACATCGTTTGACTTTTTTACGTTTCTTATAAAACTCAGTATATTTAATATAATTTGTAGTATAAAATCGAGCGATTGTTACATTTTTCTATTCTGGACTGTTATTTTCTAGAGTGTCTATTCGAATCCCACTGTCTTTAATGAAATACCATTGTAGGCTAGCTTTTTTTGTGCGTGCGTCAGTAGTGTCTCTTTTATTTGTCTTTTAATCCCAATAAAATTAAGGCGAATATCATTATCCAGGAAGTGAATCAAAGAAATCACACAAATACAATAGAAAAGATCATAGGAAAGTTGGAGTTGTTTATTGTGTAGAATGCAAAGACTGTGCTAACATTTACGTCGCACAAACAGGCAGCGACGTAGGCATTAGAATGAACTAGCATGAGAAGAAATTAGAAAATGATGATTTGTTTTTAAAAATATCTGTACATGTCACTGAAAACAATCACACTGTAAATCTAGACCAACTCTGTATACTGGCATATGAAAAAAATGAAATTACAAGACAAATAAAAGAGACACTACTGACGCACGCACAAAAAAAGCTAGCCTACAATGATATTTCATTAAAGACAGTGGTATTCGATTAGACACTCTAGAAAATAACAGTCCAGAATAGAAAAATGTAACCATCGCTCGATTTTATACTACATATTTTTCTATGGTTAAGTTTTTCTAGTATTGTCGTGCTCCCCTGTTTCAACTAGTATGTATATTCATCTCTCTTCTAAATTCACAGTCATATTAGTCTGATGATGATACTGTGAAGTATCGAAAGCTCGCTTTTTGTGTAAAATGATTTTCAATTATATTAAATATAAACCTTATATTAATGAGTATATACGGACTTTAGTAGAACAATAGCCATAGTATAGACTTTCTGTTATAACTCGTTAATATGCCAGATGAAATAGAAAATGTTCAGACATTTTATTATTCATTTAATTAATAGAAAAACGGTTGCTACTTAAAGCAAAATATGAAATAAATTTACAGTGAGCACTCTTCTCCTTGAATATACAAGATATATATATACAAGGAACATTTGATAAAAATCTAAAAGTTGTTCTTTTCTTATTTTATTCTTTAACCATAAAAACAGAATAATTTTCTCTTATACAAAAGTCTAAATAGTACCAGAGTAGGATGTTCTCTCAATTCGTCCCTCATAAATTTTTATTCTGAATTCGTCCCTTCTACATTCTTCCCTCAAATGCACACATGACTAAATTATTCGGCTTTTAAATTTATTTAATAAATTTTGTAAAAAAAAACACTAACTAACAATAAATAAACAGCTACAATATTACTATGTCCACAAAACAAATCAACTATTCGTGAAGATATCATTTTTTAATTGGGGTTGTTTTAACAACTCTACCACATTTAATAGTCAGTTCAGCATTCGTTATTGTTCCTTTTTATGTGTTCGTCATGTAATTCTTTTAACTTACCTCAAGAGGGAAAAAGCAGCTCCCGGTACCACCAGGAACACAGTGGAGCCCGGCGGAACACACTGGAATCCTGTGGAGCTGTCGCCAGCTCCGATGGTACCAAGTGGCTCCATATGAGTTCCACTCAGCGCCAGTGAGTTCCACACAGCTCCAAAACGTTCCAATGAGCTTCAATCAGTTCCATTCAGTTCCACTCAACTTCAGTGAGTTCCGAAGGGTGAGGCCCATTGAAGCTCATTGAAACTCATTAGAACTCATGTCGAGCCACTTGGCACCATCGTAGCTGTGGAGCAGCTTTTCCCCCTTCGACTTACCAGTCAATATTATTGTATAATTTTTTTCGTTTCCTTATTTGCATATCTGAGTGAGAGTGAAATGTAACATTTTCGGAGAATTTGTGTGTGCTGCTACTGAATATCCATAAGTTTATATAGGTTAGTAAGCTTCTGTTCTTTAAGCATCCTAAACGGCTCTAAAATGTAGCTGTTTATATATTATTAATTATGAGTGTTGTTCTTTTTTACAAAGTTTATAAAATAAATTTAAAAGCCGAATAATTTAGCCTATGCGTGCGTGCATTTGAGGGACGAATCAAGGTAAAGATTTTGAGGCATGAAATGAGAAGGGACGAATTGAGAATAAAAATTTATGAGAGTCAGTTTGAGAAATCAATTAAGGAAGAATCGAGGCTAAACCCAGAGTAGAATAAACTGTAAAAGAAAAATATATGTATGTTTGATAAGTGATAAAAGAATAATCTTTTGAAACATACTGGTTAATTCTCTTTGAAGAAGTAATCAAATCAATTAGAAAATAAAATAAAGTTCCTGTATACGTACGTCATACAGGACATATATAAAAATTATTATAAAATGAAATGTTGTATAAGAGTGGAATATAGAAGTGACCTCAGAACAATCTAGTATAAAGATAGGTGTTAAGTATGCTCAACAATATTTGGATTTAGAAGTTTGATTAAAAGCTTTGTTTGATTATCTCGAATTCTATGCTACTCTGTCAGTTCAACCTATTAATTACAAAAAAACCGAAGCGCTATGGTCAGCTGGAGCAATCGGTATGCCTTCTTTTAAGCTTTTTTGTGGTGATAACGAAATAAATTGGGCAAGCACGTTTAAATACTTACGATATTATCTGTCTTCTAAACTTGAGCGCGGTAAGATATTAGATAGTTATAAGGTAGCTCTCTAAGAGACGAATTATCTCATTTTTATTTTACATGTTTAAAGCGTGTTGTTTGTTGTACTCACTGGAATGATTATCTTTTTTCTTTTTTGTATGATGAAATTTCTATGAAAAATCGATGTTTTAATTATTGGCAAAAATTTGTCAATGCTCTCTCTCGCTCTACTGATGGATTCCTTTCGTTAAATCTGTGTTTTTTAAACGTTTTTCGGGAGCAGTGGCTTTGTGCTGATTTTCCTATTAGTTGTATGTATCGCTCAAAGCGTTTTATTCCTTATACTTCTGCTATATAAAACTGTCTTTCCTGGCTTGCTGATAATAATATGAATTCCATTCCGGATATACTTGTCGAGGAGTTTGATCTGTTTTTTTCGTTTCCTGAATCCTTTTTGTAAGAAGACCGCGTGAAAAATTATACTCCGGTGTGCTATCGTTAATTTTTACGTATTTTACCTTCTTAATCTTAATTATTACATAATTAATCTTTAGTGTATACATTCTTGGTGTATTAAAAGGCCTTATTAGAACATTAATATTTAAATAAAGCAGAATAAACAATCTAGTATAAAGAAGTATTAGATTGTATTTTCCCAAAACAATCACAGATACCTGTTGCTTAACTGAATAGTATTGATCAAAATATCAAATACTAATAATAAAACATAGTACTGACTTACTTTGATATTGTTTTGTTTAATATTTGGGAATAGTTGAGAAATGTTTATATACTACAATATGCTATATATACAAATAAAAAGAAGAATATTATATGTTTTCCTATTTATGCATTTAATAGTAAGTCGTAAAGAGAATTTTAATGAATTTTTTTTACCAAAATAAATTTCATATATACGTATACATACATCAAAAGAAACCGATCATATACGAAATGTTAGTAAAATAAATTCGTTATGCCGCGACAGAGAGAACAGTAAGAATTTTGAAATATTTCCTATACGAGTCAAAATAACTCTCATAAATGTGGCGATGTATCGATGCACTCTCGATTGGTATAAAGAAAACGAAAATAATTTTTTTAATGGAATTTTGACACACACACACACACATGTAAGTATTGTACTGCCATGCAATCTCATTTTTCTCCCCACAAAAAACTCATATTTTTTGGAAGAAAAAGAATGAAAGAATGGAATATGATGTGAATAGAGAAAGTTTGTTTTCTTTACAATATTCGTTAATTGCATACAACGAGAAAATTGACTCGCTATCCATCCGTTAACTGATGAAACATATGGGATTGAAACAATATTTACTTTATATTATTCAAGGATCCCTTTGTAGAGAATAAATCAATATTAAATCTATTTCATCAAATCGTTCCATCAATTACCAAGCCAAAACATACATATTGAAAGTGCAATTTAAGTTAATTTCTAAATAGAAGCAGTACTACTAGCCGAGAGATACTTTACACGTTATAAATGTAAGAGAAGAATTATTTTCTCTGCGATAATGTGACTTTTGTCAAAGTTAATTTACTATGTGAAAAACGGAATTAAAACTGTGTGCTAGAATACTTAGTGTGCTGATCAAGCTTGGTGTTTGGTTCTTAAGCAACTAATTACGGAAAATTAGTAATATGATCCTTAGGTTGCACATTGAAAAAATGTTGGTGTAGATAGTAGACGAATAATGGATGAATTCACCAAAACTAGACTAAACTTTGAAACACATAGCGTTGCTGTTAAAAATAACAATAAAACAAATTTGTTCTCAAAATATTTCATGATATTCGTGTAGTTGAATCTATTTGTCTTTCGAAAAGATTAAGGATACGAAATAAATTCCGTTTTTGTACATATACCTTCTTTTGATAAGTGAAAATCAGTTTATTTTAATTCACTGAACTTTCACCGACAAGGAATTTCAATGACTTTGCTACCTGCTATATCTTATCCGTGCTTAAGAGAAGCTCCGCCACATCACAGACCATACTGTCCGGAAGAAAATTTTATTTTGTTTTTATTTATATCTCATTTGAAAGAGCATACAAAGTAACCCCGAATCCTGCAATAACTCATTCTGAAAGTGCTTTTTTAAAAAATACACTGAACATAATAATATGTTTAACTATCTCGGGCAACAAGCTCTGCTAGAGTTCAATATGTTTACGCAAATTAGTGCGCAATTCACTTCGTTAGCTCA